CCAGAATGATTATCACTGGCTCTCCCTCCTTTTGAGCCCAGTCTTGACCCCAGCCCTGTCCCGGGGCTCCCACCCCCCTTAGAATGCCATGCCCTGGTCACAGGACCCCAAACTCTACAGGAGCCCTCTCCCAGCCAGACCCTGTTGGCCACTCTTTGGCCTGGAACCCCGAATTCTCTCAACCAGGAGCCCCAGTCACCCCACATTCCCCAGGTGCTTCTTCTTGACCTGATTCCCCAAATCCATACCCTTTCCAGAAGCCCCGAAAGCCCAACCTCCCCCCCCCAAAAAAAGGTCCCTAATCATTTCATCAGCCTGGAAGCCCCTAAACCCTCCAAATCCTCTCACCCAGCCTCTGAGCCCCTCTCTTGAGGCCTTTAACCTTGGTTTCCCCTCTCAGAACCCACAGCCTCTTGTCCTCCAGGTCAAGACCCCCCATCACCCCCACAAAGCCCACCCGCACCTGATGGGGTCAGCTCTGCTCTCAGCAGAACATCCTCCCACCCAGGTCCAGCCACCACCCCCTTCACCGCCCCCCCCACACACACAGTCTCAGAGCCTTCAGGATCCTGAGCCCTTCCCATCACCCCTGCCCATGTCCTCAGACCTGGGCCCTCTACCCCTGCGTCCCTGCGTGTCCATAGCCTGGCCCCCTCTCCCAGTCCAGTCCCCTGGCCCCGCGGCCACCTCCATTCGCCCTGACTCAGCACCCCCTCTGCAGGCGCCGTGCCCCCCATCCAGTCCCGGATCGTCGGAGGCTGGGAGTGCAAGAAACCCCAGCCCTGGCAGGCGGCCCTGTACCATTACAACCACTTCGAGTGCGGGGGCGTCCTGGTGGACCCCCAGTGGGTGCTCACGGCTGCCCACTGCATCAGCGAGTGAGTAAGGGGGAGGGGGAGGGGCGGGGTTGGGGGTATCTGTGCTACCACAGGACTGGGCAGCCAGCACTGTCCCTTCAGATGACCTCAGGGGACGCAGAAAGGACAGGTCGTGGTCCGGGGTCACGAGGAGAGAGACAGGGCTGGGACTGGTTGACCAGAAAGCCCTCCCACGGCCGCCTGAGTCTGCCTCTGTCCCTCCCCTAGACCTCTCTCCTCTCTCTTCTCTTCTCTCTCTCTCTGAGTTTCTGCCTCACTCCCTCTCCCCATCACTACTGTGCACACACACCCCCCAGCATGGGACTGAAGGGGACCCCCAGGGAAAAGGGAGGGTCACCCCCAACATTTTGGGGGAGGGATGTTCTCACACCGCCCAGCCCCGCCACCCAGGAGCCCCACGGGGAAGGGCTGGTCTCCGGTGGGGCTGTGTGAGAGCCTTGAGGGCCATGGGGGAAGGGGAAGGAATGAGAAGAGGAGGGGAAGGTGCTGGGGAGGGAAGGGGGACGCTGACCTTGGGCTCGGGGCCAGGCCACCCGCCTGCTGGGGAACCAGCCCCGCAGCCCCAGCTGCTGCCGAGCTGGGCGCAGGCCCCTCCTCCCATCTGCTCCCCCACCTCCTGCCCTCCCAGCCTGGTCTCTCTCTCCCTGTCTCCCCCTGGCCCCCCCTTCTCTCTCTCTCTCTCTCTCTCTCTCTCTCTCTCTCTCTCTCTCCTTCCTCCGTCACTTTCTCACTGTGTCTGTTTCTCCCTCTGCTCCCTCATTCTGTTCTTTCCTGCTTCTTCCTTCTGTCTGTCTCTCACCGTCTCCGGCTCTTCCTCATCCCGCCCCCTTTCTGCTCCCTCTTTCTCTGTTCTCCCTCCCGCTCGCTCATTCCCCGAACCTGCTTCAAGCCCTTTTCCTCACTCCCCTTGTCCCCGATCAACCTTGAATCATCGTCTCCACCGGTTTGGAATCTTTCATGCTCTCTCCCTTTTCCTCCTCGTTTCTCTCTCTCTTTTGAGACCCAGCCCCATGCTGCCCTGCCCCTTCCCCCTTCTCTCCCCCTCCTCCCTCCTCATGCCCTGCGTCCCCCTCTCCCCCCAGCAATTACCAGCTCTGGCTGGGTCGCCACAACCTGTTTGAAGAGGAAGACGGGGCGCAGTTCGTCCAGGTCAGTAAGAGCTTCCCGCACCCTCGGTTCAACCTGAGCCTCCTGAAGAACCACACCACCCACCCCGGGGAGGACTACAGCTACGACCTCATGCTGCTCCGCCTGGCCGAGCCCGTGCAGCTCACAGACACCGTGAAGACCCTGGCCCTGCCCACCCGCGCCCCCAAGCTGGGGAGCACCTGCTACGCCTCTGGCTGGGGCAGCACCAACCCATACCCATGTATGTCAGCCTGGAACCCAGGCACCGGGGGGTCGGGAGTGGGTGGGGGACTGGGGACCTGGACTCCGGGGTCTGAGGGAGGAGACCCGAGGAGCCACGAGGCGCCGGCCACAGCCATGTTCTCCCTGGCCTGCAGTCCAGTACCCAGATGAGCTCCAGTGCGTGGACCTCACACTCCTGCCCAACAAGGTGTGTGCCGAAGCCCACCCCGAGAAGGTGACGAACGTCATGATGTGTGTTGGACACCTGGAGGGTGGCAAGGACACCTGTGCGGTGAGCTGACCTGCTCCCCCCTGGGCCTGGGGGGGGGGGGGGGGGGGCTCAGGTTCTGGCCTGGGGCTGAGAGCTATCCAGGCATCTGTCTCCAAGGCTGCCCAGATACCGCCCCCTCCCCAGTGCTCCAGCTCCCTCCTCTGCCCCTTTCCTCCTCACACCCCCAATCAGGTGGCCCATGCATCGCCCTCCTCCCTCTAACGCGCATTTACAGTCGGGGCAGAGAGAGCTAGCTGGGAGAGGTGACATCTGAGATGAGCCCTGAGGTGGGAGGGTCCCGTGGATGGATGCCCCCTCCCCCTCCCCCCTGCAGGGACTGTCCTCCAGGGCCCTGGTGTCCCACCCCCATTGGCTAGAACTCCACGCACTGTCCCCCTATTGGAACCCTGCCACCTCCTCCTGGGAGTGGGCCCCAGAGACAAGTGCGTCCCTCCCCACAGCTGGACTCGGGTCTGCAGGCAGAGCCCCCCGCCTCACTGACCTCACTCTCTCCCCCTCTCCCCCTCCTGCAGGGTGACTCCGGGGGCCCGCTGATCTGCAACGGGGTCCTTCAAGGAATCACCTCCTGGGGCCAAACCCCCTGCGCCCGACCCAACACGCCCGGGGTCTTCACCAGAATTCTGCCCCTCGTGGGTTGGATCAAGAAGACCATGGCAGCCAATGCCTGAATGCCTCTGCCCTATCCCTGACCCCCGCACCGTCCCCCCCACCAATTAAAACCAAATATGCATCCAATTTGCATGGAGTTCTGGTGTCATCTGGCCTCCCAGACACCCCTCTCCACACACACACCCCCTCCCGCCCCGTCTCCAGGCCCAGGGCTGGAGTCTCCCCGCCCTCCCTGTGTTGGGGCGGGAGGCGTGCAGCAATGGACAGGGGAAAGGATGGGGCAGAGGCAGGTGCAGACAAACAGGCAGAGGAGGAGGCCGGGACTCCAGGCCGGTTCTCACACACGCCGGGCCCGACCCTGCCCCGAGGGAAAGGACGCAATGGAGGATCGGACTCTGAGAGCGGGGTGGTGCCCACATTTTATTGTGGCGCGGAAGCCAGGAAGGTGGGCGAGGGACGCTGCGGCAAGCCACGCCTTCCTGGGGAGGGGCGACAGCAAAAGCTGGGTGGGGGTCGTGTCCGCCCAGGGGCAAGATGAGGCATCCAGGGGCGGGGCTGGCCCTCGGAGGGGAAGGAGTTCCAAGGATGAAGGGCGGCTTTGGGGCGTGGCCTAGCTAGGATAGGGGTGTGGCCTATCTGGGATTGGGGCGTGGCCTGGCTAGGATTGGGGGGCCTATCTGGGATTGGGGCGTGGTCTAGGTAGGATGGGGGCGTGGCCTATCTGGGATTGAAGGGGGGGGCCTAGCTAGGATTGGGGGGAGCCTAGATAGGATCTGGGCGTGGCCTATCTGGAATTGGGGCGTGGCCTAGTTAGGATGGGGGCGTGGCCTGGCTAGGATGGGGGCTAGGTGGGATCTGGGCGTGGCCTATCTGGGATTGGGGCGGGGCCACGCTAGGATGGAAGCAGATCCACACCCACTGGCCCCTTGGCAGGAGCTGCGTGCAGGTCGGAAGGGGGCGGTGTCTGGCTTCTGGGATGGGGACCAGGGGAGGACTCTGGACGGGAACAGAGCCGCAAAGGGTGGGCCCAAGCTTGAGGGTCCCCGCTTTGTCAGCAGCGCTCGGAGGGCGAGGCATGTCTCCATGGAGGTCTGATTCCCGCCCCGGGGCCCAGGTACCCGTCCGTGTCCTGAGCAACCATGGCTTAGGGAGGCTTGGCGGGGATCCCCTGGCCCGGGAGCGAACTGGACTTGCGGTCTGAGTCTGACTGTCTGGACATGTGCCTCACAGAGCCGGAGCCTAACCGCGAGGCCCACCGCCAGTAGCTCACCCGCCGATCCCAGCTGAACGAGGCCTGGCTCCACATGCCCGCGTAGTTTAAGTAGCTCAGGACTCCTGGGCAGGAGGAGCTGGATAGGCGGCTGGACGCCCAGTTCCGCAGAGGCCCCGCCCCCTTTCCCTAGGCCCCGCCTCCTTGGGTTCACCACCATCTGGGCCCCAGACCCAGCCCAGGTTTCTCCCCGGGCCCGACCCTTCTTCCCGAGGCCCCGCCCATTCTTCCCTGGGAGCCCGCTCTCACCTGTCCACAGTATCAAGGCGCCACTGCCCCAGCATAGGTAGGAGGTAAACAGGTACGAAATACGTGGCTTTGGTCTCAGGGCCTGGCAGTTGGCTACAAAGAGCGTCATGCTGAGGATAACCAGGAACCCTGCGCTTGGGTGGGGCCAGAGATGGACACTAGGCTAAACAGGTACCCCAGAACCTCCAGACACACGTACACACACATACGCTCTCGACAGTCAGAGATGCCCCCCACACTACTCACCCCAACTGAGAAAGACAGAGGAAGGAGAACTGTGAGAGAGACTGTCAAAGACGGACCCAGGTGACCGTAGGACAGAAAACTCTGAGATCCGCCTCCCAGGGCACAGATGCTGGGGTTGGGGAGGGCACCCCATCCCCCAGGCCCACACTTACCAATGCTGAAGCTGAGGAAACTGAAGATAAGGTCGGTCTTGTTCAGGCGGCGGAAGACCGGCCAGAAGGAGAGGGCCATGGTGGTGACAAGGATGAGACATATGGTCAAGGCCAGCATCATGAAGCCCATGCTCATGTGGATGAGAACTGGGGGGAACGCGGGAAGTGGAGGGAGGGAGGATTGTCCCAGAGTCACCCCCAGATGTTCTCCAAGGTCAACCTCTAAACTCATGTCAATGACACCCCTGAGCAGTACCCCCAAAGGCCCCCCAGAGTTTGACTACAGATGTCCTCAAAGTCACTCCCATTCCCATCACCAAAGTCACCTCCTAGAAACCCCAAAATATGACTCTCACAAAATCACCCACCAGGGAACCTGTAAACTGCAAGTCATCCCCACTCACACCCTCAGAGTTCTCCCAAATCAACCCCCATTCACCCTAAAGGTCACCCCCAGACACCCCCCTAATCAACTACGCATACGAAGGTCACCCCACAGATGACCCCGAGACACCCCCACACACATTCTTGAGGTCACACCACAGAATCATCTCAATCATTTCTAGAGTCACCCCCACAGTTACTCCCAAAGTCGCCCCACTCACACTCCCAAAAGATGTCCCACAGCAACTCACAGTATCCTCACAATCACTCCCAGACATGCCCAAAAATACACACAAAGTTATCCAAGACACTGTAGTCTCTTCAGTGATGAAGAGGGGTTCCGGGGTGTGGAAGCCAGGAAGGTGGGTGTCTCTCTACTCCTCTCCCCTCACACTCCTAGGTCCCCTAGTGACCCCTTTCACACCCCAAAACCTCTTCCAGTGTCACCTCCATTCACACCATAGAACGCCCCCACACACAGACATTCTTCACATCCCCCATACATCTCCCAGAGCACACACACAGATGTACACATGCAAAAAAACAACAAACAAAAACAAAAAACAAAACTTACAAATATCTAAAATCAGGGTACCTGAAAGATGTCATTGCATTCACTATCCTATATAATAAAAGGGTAATATGCAAATTGACCCGAATGGTGGAACAACTGGCCACTATGATGCGCACTGACCACCAGAGGGCAGATGCTCAATGCAGGAGCTGCCCACTGCTGTTCAGTACGCTAACACAGGGGAAGCCCCACTCAGCCACAAGCTGGGCTGATGGCTGCGAGCGCAGCAGGGGTGGCGGGAGCCTCTCCCACCTCTTCAGCAGTGCTAAGGATGTCTGAATGCGGCTTAGGTCTGCTCCTTGAAGGGGGCCTAAGCTGCAGTCGGACATCCCCTGAGGGCTCCTGGACTGCCAGAAGGATGTCCGATCCCCGGGAGCAGGCCTAAGCCAGAGGTGGAAATCCCTCCCCTGAGGGCTCCTGGACTGCCAGAAGGATGTCCGACCCCCGGGAGCCGGCCTAAGCCAGAGGTGGACATCCCCCGAAGGCTCCCGAACTGCGAAAGGGTGCTGGCCGGGCTGAGTAACCCCCCTCCCCTGAGTGCACGACACTCAGGACACCCGGGCCTCTAGTAGAACCGATATTTATCCAGTTTACGCTGCAGTGTGACAAGACTTGCAGCTCCTTCTGAGAACAAGCCCCTTGCTACTTTGCCTGCTTTTGAACAGTTTCAGCGAAATGAGCTAAGACTTCATCTGCTTTGCTTCTGGCAAACTGCACACCTCTAACACCTAACCAGCAAGCAAAAGGTTCATCCTATATACACAATAGCAATGGCGCTCCCTGGTGATTACAAAACCCTGGTGGAAGGCTTCTCCAGGCACATCTTTGTGCTCTGGGGCCACAGAGGTAGACACGTGACTCTGGTTGAGCCAATCACAGTGTCCCATCCCCCAGACCACGATGATGGGCCATAAGGTGGGCACATGATCAAAGCCCTGCCCTGGGACTTTTTCTAACTGAAGTTGTCGGGACAGCTCTCCCTCCTCTGGTCGATAAGACCAGGAGCCTGGAGCTGCCTGAGCCTTGCTCCCAGCCTCCTGGGGGATGGGAGACCTGAGGGAGTAAAACTAAAAAAGGAAAGCAGACAAGAGAAGGAGAGTTGAGGCGACACTGGCTGTTGTCATCCCAGAGGCCAGCCCATCCTGTGGCTTGGTCAGAAAAGAGTGGATGTTTACGGCTTAACTCCCCACCATGCATGTCACCCTCCTACCTGTTCCCCACTCTCAGCCCCAGTTATAAGCCAATCAGTGCATTGCATTGCTCTGGCCACCAGGCTTGGTTGGCGGTAATGGTGTGACCTAGCCAGGGCTTTGACGGGAACTTTCGGGGAGGGGGTGTGGGCATGCAGGAGGCAACCAATCAATGATTCTCTCTCATCATTGATGTTTCTATCTCTCTCCCTATCCTCTCTGAAATCAATATATATAATTTTTAAAAGGGCATGGCTCCACCTCTGCCCAGGCCCTGGTCCAGGCGCATGCAGGAGGCAACCAATCAATGTGTTTCTCTCCCATTGATATTTTTCTGTCTTTCCCTCTCTCTTCCACTCTCTCTACAAATCAATGGAAAAATATCCTCAGGTGAGGATTTAAAATATTAATAATTTTTAAAATAAAATAAAGGCAGTTACCCTGGCCAGTGTGGCTCAGTCGGTTGGGCATTGTCCTGTGCACTGAAAGAAAGGTCATGGTTCTATTCCAGGTCAGAGCACATGCCCAGGTTTCAGGCTCAATTCCCAGTAGGGGGCGTGCAGGAGGCAGTCGATCAATGTTTTGCTCTCACAAATAAGTTTCTCTCTCTCTCAAAATCAATAAAAATATATTTTAAAAATACAAATAAGAAAATGACGGTAGGTGCAGCAGCTGGAAAAAGAAAAGTGTTTTTATAAAACTTACTAGAGGCCCGATGCACGAAATTCGTGCAAGAGTAGGCCTTCCTTCCCCCGGCTGCCAGCACCAGCTTCCCTCTGGCACCAGGGACCCAGGCTTCCCTTACAGCCCTGGCTTCATCTGGAGGTCATCCGGAAGGACATCCGGGAGGACATCTGGTCTAAGTAGCATATTATGCTTTTATTATTACAGACTAGAGGCCCAGTGCATGAAAATTCATGCACTGGAGGGGAGGTCCCTCAGCCTGGCCTACTCACAGTCCAGGTGCCCTCAGGGGCGGGAGGCAACTCGGCCATCAAGGAAAGGTGATGCCCCCATCATACTTCTGCTGCTGCCACTGCCAGCAGCGCAAGCCTTGGCCGGCCCTGGTTACCTGAGCCTTGGGTGACCCTGGGCGGCTGGGCAGCCAACATCCAAGGCTTGCCTGCACCTTGAGCCATCCCTGGGCAGCTGGGGGACTGAGGGCGGATCCGGCCTCACTGTGAGCCTGCCACCCCCGGTGGGTTTGAAAGGACTGGGGCCTCCAGCAGGGCTGAGGGAACTAGGTGTCGCCATCTTGTGGCTATGGGCTCCGCCATCTTTGTAACGGTGTGATGGTGAATTTGCATATTCTGTCTTTATTAGATAGGATAACTAAACTTGGTGTAGCACTTAATATGTGCCAGGCAGTGTTCTCATTCCTTTAGGTGTTTTAGCTCACACATTAACAGCTTACGAATTGGTACTGCTATTACTGCCATTTTTAGAAATGTGGAAACTGAGGCACAGAGAGGTGAAGAAATGTATCCAAGATCACCCAGCTACCAAGAGGTTGGACTAGGATTCGAACTAGGCACTCTGGCGCCAGGCTCCGGGCTGTCTCTTGTTGCAATGCTCAAAAGCAATGAAGAGCCCTAGCCGGCTTGGCTCAGTGGATACAACATCAGCCTGCAGACTGAAGGGTCCCAGGTTTGATTCCAGTCAAGGGCACATGCCTGGGCTGTGAGCTTGATCCCCAGTAGGGGGCGTGCAGGAGGCAGCTGATCAATGATTCTCTCTCATCATTGATGTTTCTTTCCATCCCTCTCCCTCTCTGAAATCAGTAAAAATATATTTTAAAACATATTTTTGAAAAAGCAATGAAGAGACCAACAAGGAGGCAAAATGTTCCTGCTAAAAACCTCTTGTCATCTTTTCTGGAAAAACAAATTGTTAAGTGAGAGAGAGAGAAAATGATGGTGTTTTCAGCCACCTAGTGATGAGGCAGGCGGGCTTTCGGTCAAGTATAGTGCTCACCTTCCAAAGCATATGACAGTCCTATTTCCTTATGAGCCAGAAAGAACTCCAGGAGCCCTGGCCAGTGTGGCT